CGGTGTAAATATACTGCAACTTGCCGACCATAGATCAAATCACCAAAAGATACAGCAGCATACTGCTCGACAAGAGTATCAATAAATGTTGAGTAACTTTCATGAATCTCAGTTTCAAACCTTAGAAATTCCACATCACATTTCTTTCCAGTTTCAGGTAGTAAATTAATAGACATATTCAAAATGGTTTCAGGTCTTCTCTTAGACCTTGTCTTATCAAGAAGCTGTCCATAAAGCTCTTGCAAAGACTCATAAACATCCCTACTCTTCTCCTCTTCAAGCACAGCCATTCCAATAAGTAATATTATGGATAAAGAATGCAGTTTCCAGATTAATGGAACACTCTGAACCGGTGAGGCAACATCTTCAGAAATGAAAGTGGAAATGGCTTCCAAACCTAAAAGGAAAAACATTCCAGCTTTCGCAACTTCAAGTATATCACTAGGGTCCTGCAAAAAATTTTGTATATCACAGTCTCTTCCAAGACCAGCATGTTTGCTATCACAAAGGGTTGATATTGGACTGAGAAACCAGTGCATGGGAAGCGGCAGTCTCTGGTAAGCCCATTCCATTACCAACAAAGTAGAGCTATGATCTTGACACATCACATTTGATGTGTCCATGTCCTCTGGTATGGTTTCCAAAGAAACACTTCCTTTTGATGTTCTATCACCACTCAGGGCTTTCAATGTTTTCTTATTAGACAACCATCTATTTCTGAAGTGAGAAGCTAATGTCTTACTGAAGAACTGGTAGTCATCTTCTTTATATTCCCACCCATATAATTTCATCCTCCCATTACCCTGGATAAAACGCTGAATACAGAGATCAAGGTACTTAAACATAGGTACTTGAAGCATGACATCCAATGCTTTCTCCACAATAACCTTGTCTCTTGGCCCAGCAATTAAGCATAATCCTAAAGCAGAATGGATCATTTGCAAGGTGAAGGTCCTCTCGTCAGTTAGGGGTAACACTTTTATAGACACAATCTGGAAGATCTCAAGCAACTGACTCAGCAACCGTGCATCTGTTTGCGCCAATAAATCAGTTTTTGACCAAAATCCTCCACCAGAGGAACCCCATCCAAGTCCCACCTCAGGAGCAGGGCCTCCTCTACCAAAGACCTCAACTGACTGCATAAAGTGCCACTCTGATGCAACAAACTTTGAGAAAATACTGAAAACACATCTCAATTCAAACAAAGATTCCATCAGTATCCCTCTTGCAAGTATGTTCTCTTCTTGTGAGAAATTGTGTACTTGAGAAGGATTACAGACCCCAGCCTTAGCTAACTGGATCAAATTGTTAATGAAAATAAAAACCTGGAAGAAGCCATGAAGGCAACATACAGAAGCTAATGATGTTTCAAATTCACTTTGCTGCCTTGAAGAACAGAGTTGCTCAATAAAAGAACTACATCCAGCCCAGTTAGTTCCATATTCTGCACTGTTCACACATTCAAAGCTCAAAAACCCATTTCTAATAATTTCAAGTCCAACCTTAGGAACAAAATCTGGCAAACATGGCATATGACCACCGTCTTCTTGCAGGCCGATGGTGTCCTCAGGGATCACTCTTTCAAGCACTCTGGAAAGCATGTGCATAACAGCTGAGTACACCCACAAAAAAGGAGAGAAAGATTTATCACAGAAAACAGAGTTTCCCTTCATTCCATTCTGAGAATCAATCAAGCTAGACTTAAATGATATCCACTTCATGGCTAAATCAACCATAGGACCAACATGGCTCCAAGACCACGTCTCCATATTATCATCAGCTCCTTCAGCTATTCTATCACTTAGACACTTCTGTGAATAAAAATTCGGAAGTGTTCTGGCCAGAGATTCTAGAACAAGGTATGCCTCCTCAGAGATGGCAGCATATTCACTTAAAACATTGTTCTCTACCAGTTTTTCAATAGTAGGGGGATTCAACCACAAGCACAAAGCAGGAAAAATATTGGAGAAGTATGAGACACCGTACCCATTCTGAATGCAGACCTCCCAAAAATGTAGTTGTTCAACCATTAAGGCAGATGAAAGTTTACAGTTTTCTCTCCCCAACTTCAACCATTGTTCAAGAAAGTACGTAATTTGATACAAATGCCATGTCATAGCCTGGAAAATCCCATTCTCTATGAACTGCCCACAGTTCTTCCGGTCAGACTGTGCCAGCACCTTTGCAAAGGAAAAAGAATACCAGTATAAATCCTTTATGTTAAATGTCAGGAAAATGAGAAAAGAACCATATAATAAGGAACTAGGAACATCACACATTTTTTCCATTTTTTACGCAGACAATATGAAGCGGCTCAGGCAGCCTCACTATCCCAGAAACAAATGAATACAAGCTTACCTTCAAAAGGCAAACAGATTTGATCTTAGAGGGATAAACCCCCACATTGTTATTTGCAGTAAATCGGTGGACAACAGTTTGAACTAGTCTTTGGCATTGCATTATTACATTTGCACACATTGGGGAATGTCTTGCTATCGCAATAAGTATTGAAATCATGCATTCTTCCAGAGGTGCTGCTGGTTCTATCTGAAACCATGCATATATACATATCAGAAAGATTGTACAAAGCAAGCATTGATCTTGCCAGGTCAGATATTATTACTAGTATCTAGTTAGGAGTTAGAACAACTCAAATAAACTTATCAAATAACATAGAGATTATTGTTAAACTTGCTAATTTCTAGAGTCTCACGAAAGTTCTCTAAAAACAAGAAAAAGAAAAAAGTGAACATAAAAATCTGTGGGAAAGAAAGAGACAGCTTGCATGAGAGTAGAGATCAGTATTCTTTTCTCTTCTCACAACCCACAAAAACGTCAATGGTTGACACTAGACAACAAGATTATTAAATTTGCAATGGCATAAGCAGAAACCTGAGGGCAGGTATATTGAGGCTTTGCCAATCGGATACGGAAATAGATGTTTTCAACAAAACAATGCTCACCTCCAAAAGATATCGAATCCTTGGAAGGATACCCATCCTAACCAAACCTGCAGCAAAATCTGTCCCGCAACAACAATATCATCCTGAATTGTTTGCATCCCTTCAGTCTCATCTTCCACAATATCATCACCACAAAGAAGAATATTTGAAGGTTTAGCACTATATTTCCAATACCCACCATGAAGGAAACCAACATCAATCTCTCGTTTACTTTGAAATATAGGAGCAGTATAAGTATCCTTTGCATCAATTGACGTTTTCTGCAAGTACATAACATTAAACTCAACATAACATACGGACATTCATGAACATGCATAAATAAAAGAGATAGAAATCTACCTCCAAGAAATCAAAGAAGTTCTCATTTAAATCACAGCTCAATATGCATTGAATAGCTTTGGCACTTGCTAAAACAACAGAATTGTGGTTATCATCAAGAGACATCCTACAAATTTAAAAATATTCAATTAAGGCTCAACATTTCAGAAGAAAATATATTTTTATGAATCAATTTATAAATTCTAACAGAAAAAAAAAGGTGTGACGTAACCTTAATGGTACTTTTAAAAACAAAAATTCCCTTTCATCACCTTAACGATAAGATGAGCTCAGGTTCTGGACCGAGTGCAAAAGCCCAAAGAGCTTCCCAGTCAACGGCACTGTCAACTTTGTTATTATTGACCAGAGTAGAGCCAACTGGATTGAGATAAATGTTATGTAATGCCTTATGAAGCACAGATGCAAGGAGATGCAGTGCAAGGGCCCGTTGTCCTGGAATCTGAATTCAACAAAATCAGTAAATAACAAGGATCAATATGGTTACATCAAACATATACTGCATCAATATTTTATATTAGAAATACACAATCTAACTTGTAACTCTGCACCACATAGTTGCATTTGCATTAGATATCTACAATATAACTGCATATCATCCAATCAACTAATAAATAAAATAGAAACTGACCGTGCTTCTTGAGAGTGCAACTGCTTCTTTAATTGTGTAACCTGCTGCATCTAGGTCCCCCTGAGTCGGTAAGAAGTCACGTTCAGCAACATTATCACAACCTGCAATACAGTAATAAAAGAAAAGAGAAAAATTATATAAATCTAGTCATATTCTGCTCCTTCTATGGCAAGTACCCTTTTGCACATCTTTTTCCAGACAGTGAGAGAGTACAGACTTTTGATGAAAATACAAATGTTGGCAAATCAACCTTAGAAAGGTTATGAATATAGCAACATGAAGACCCAAAGTCTACCTCAGACACATAAATAAATGATTTATGAAAATGTGCGCATGGATATCCAATCTAAAAATAACTAAATAAATGAACTTAAGAATGATTGTGATTTTGCCTTACTTGTCTCTGGTATCTGGACCAAATCATTTTCAACAACAGCCCCATCCAAGGAAAATCTTAAGTCCCTAACAGCCTCAACTCTTTGGCGCCAAGCATTCCACAAGCTGCCATTTATAGGGCCTACATTCTGCTCCAAGCCATTATCAAGGCCACTCTTCGTAATATTTGAGCTAGTTGTCACCATCTGGGAATTACTGCTTTCTGTATTTGGAGAGTTTATATCATTGCTTGACTGATTTTCACTGGTAATACCCC